CAGTAATGGAACAATCAAGTGTAGTGGTTATTTAATGGATATATAACAAAGGGAAACTGACCAGCTGAGGTGTTCCTCATGTTTTTGTGGTTGCATCACACCAGTCAGAGTTGTCTTTAGCACAGCACGGACCCTGTGTTGACTTTAGAGGCTGATACACATATGCAGTAAAAATTAGTTGATTTTTTTGGAGCTGGAATGAATAACTGATTGAAAGAAACATGTTTTGGCAACTTTTCATGATGGATTAATTGAACCATTTTTCAAGCAAACTCTTCTGTAGACCTGTCCTCTGGCTGTTTTCTGTCGTTTCCAAACTGAATCTGGGTTTTGGAGTGGTTGGTCAGACAAAAGAAGCCAGCAGTATGTGACCTTTTAAAAAAGGAAGCAACCTCCTAGGTTGGAACCTTTTTACTTGGACATACATGGGCTCAATATTGGCTTCTCTTATTCCCTTCTTGGGTATAAGAAACATCTAAGGATATTATTACTAATATTAAACCATAGACAATAGATTCAGACTTGATTCATATGACACAACCCGTTCAGTGCACATATTTAATTATCGTTGTAATATGGTTGACAAAAAATGAGCTTCACAGAGCCACATCAAGTGAAATGTAACAGATGGAGCTGAGTTTCAACAGAAATACTAAATGTGACTAGACTTTAAAACAGACCAAACAGTACACAGGTGTTAAGTCTGTCTGCAGGATGTTTCACAGATGACAGACAGTGAAGTTGTGGATCAATTGTTCTCACTCTGATCCTTATTAAATTGTCCTTGAAATATCTGCTGCACCTCTATAATACATTTCAACTTTCCAGCACACCCCAGCCCCCTGCTCCTTCCATGTAGAACCAAGCATGCAGCAGGAGAAATGGTTTATTCAGTGTTATGTACTATAGTGGCAAGATCTGCCTGCATGTCTGATGTTGAATTTGAATACATTTGACACAGGAATCTGAATGTCTTAGGTTTAAATGATAGCTGTTTGTTTAACTCACTGGAAAAGAGAGCACATTATTTCACAATTGATTTACATGCCGCTGTGGTGTGAGGATGTTTTCATTTTGCCTTCGGAGAAGGATAGCTACAGCGGGGTCTTAATGCAGATGGGACTGTAGCTGCTGAGCTCATTTGCTTTTGCTGTGTTGTGCATGTGCCAACACAGGCCTAGATTAAAAATTTGGGAGGGTGGAAATTCCTTTTTGTACATTGTCCAGTCTGGCTTTAGACACATGCCTGCCAGAAAAAGCTGACTTGCACAAAATCACAACTGAGTCCAAAAACGGGAAATTCTCGGCAGTTATATGAGGCTGCAGAGGGACTATCTGGTGTTCAGAGGCTTCCCCTTGGTATTTTAAATTAGAGAGCTTGTTAGGGTTGGTGTCTCTCACTAGGAGAGAGAGAGGACTCAGGGTGGAAACTCATAGTGCTAGTAGAAAAAGAGTCTTTATTACAAAATATAGGCAAATGGAAGAAGACAAAGTCAATGGGGTTGATGTGGTCTGACCAGGGTTGAACAGTGGAGGCTGGATAGGCAGGAGAGTGGCAAGAACCAGGAGGATCAGAGGACCAAGACGGGCCGGTGAGTCAGCTGAGAGGTTGAAGGCGGCGGCACAGGGTTGAAGATGCAGCGGTGTAGGAGTGGGGCTCAGCCCTACTGCCCTAATGTGACAAAGAGCAGGCTTCACACGAGATCAAGACTTTTTTTTTTATAGGCTGTGTGTCAAGGACATTTTTTTTTTTTTTACTGTGAGTTGTTGAGTAGGCAGAAGCTGAGATGGTAGGTTGGGGGTAGGATGTTATCCAGCAGATGCACAGCAGCTCTCAGATGGTGAGACTGAATCAGACTCTTCAACAACCCAATACCGTCAGTACAAAAGTGTTCCAGACTAGAAAAACACAGAAAAAAGCTACAAGAGATTAACTTAGTTCAAACTGTACTATATGTATAATTCAACCATAAGTATTAGGCATAGTTTATGTGTGAGAACACACCTGTGTCCTACTGGTGTCATGGCAATGGACAAGTAGCATCCAATAGGGATGCCTGCTTTTACAGCCCTGAGAACAGAGTGCATGTTCAGAGTGTTTGTGTAAGCTCTGGAGGTGGGCTGGATGTCAAAGCAGGGACCAACCATGCTCCTTTAAGGTTCTGGGAATTGCTATGGAGCTTCAGCCTCAGCAACAGCTGCCATGCCCACTGACTAAAGGATGCTTCAGGAGACATGCCCAAACGAAGGACATTGGCAAGGTAAGATACCTGAGGGAGGGAAACAAGAGACAGAAAAACAAAGTCATTTTGTTGGAAACAGGCAAACTGGGTCAGACTGGATGCCCGTAGCTAATGAGCAGATATGTCACCTGTCTGATTCCCTCGGATATGAGGCCACTGTATGGTTTGTCAGTAAGGTACTTCTGACAGGCTTCAGTCACCAGCAGTCACTTGACTGTGAAGAGATGAAGACAGGGCCAAAGAACCATCCGGCAAGAGGAAATACTTTTAGTCATCTGACTACAAACACACAACTGTGCTGACAGCTGAAAGGTCAACATTGGATCATTCAGAGATCCTCACTGAACTTCTGGAGAGAGTTTGCTGCACTGAAAGTAAAGGGGCTGAATAATTTTGCACGCCCAATTTTTCAGTTTTTTATTTGTTAAAAAAGTTTGAAATATCCAATAAATTTCGTTCCACTTCATGATTGTGTCCCACTTGTTGTTGATTCGTCACAAAAAATTACAGTTTTATATCTTTATGTTTGAAGCCTGAAATGTGGCAAAAGGTCGCAAAGTTCAAGGGGGCCGAATACTTTCGCAAGGCACTGTATGGCTACCTGTGTATGACCCCAGTTCAGACTCTAGGATAACACAGAACAAGAAGAGAGATGTCAAAGAACAAGGTAGGTATTAAGCAGTGCTACAGAGACTGCCCTTGGAACTTTATCTATTTCTCTACGTGATACTCTTCAGTGTAGTTACTGTACTCCATTTAAGGTAAAACAAAGGATCAGATGTTACACTGTGAATGAAAATAGATTAACAAATTGATTTCTACAAGGGTTTCCTTCATAGTCAACTGTGTTTTAATTCATGTAGCCCATTAAGATGAGAACTCAACTTTATTTATATAGCGCTTTACCACAGCACAGCTGACCAAAGCGCTTAACATATCATACAAATCTAAAAATCAACACATAAAAAACTATAAACAATCAAATAAACACTCTAAAAATACCAAATGTGCATCTACTGTTCATTTATCTTGTAATGGTTTATCTACATTTCTTCTAGCATTTCATTCTGTGTCTCCTTCTCCTACCTGGTAAATCAGCAGGGTTATAGTAGTGATGAAGGGGGGGGGGTCCAGAATGCTGGGTCGGAGCAGCCATGAGTGTAAGCACTGTGAGGAGGTAGATGCCGTCAGAGCTGTTCACCTCACACAGCCACTGCTCAAATCGCTCCTGGTGCTCTCGTTCTATGACAGACACATAAGTAGTTTGAGAAAGGTTTTGTGATTTTTGTGTTTAGCCACTTTCAGCTTTCAGTACATTGATAAAACTGTTGGGTCATGTCTAAGTATTACTACTATACCAATTTTTTTCAGTGTTAAAAGGTAGTTTTTGTGCAGTACATTGATGAGGAAAAAAATGAACTTAAATGATTTTAGCATATGGCTGCAATATAACAAAGAGTGAAAAATTTAAGGGGGTCTGAATACTTTCCGTACCCACTGTATATGCAAAGTGTTTGTCATATGCACAGTTAGGAAACGTGTTTCCCTGTACAGTGAAATTCTTACTTTGCCGTCCCCATGAATGCCACCAAATACAAATGAAGTATAAGTATAAGAACAGTCACGGAGTTGTTGTGAAGCCACTCTTTCGTTATTTTAGCTGTGTGCTTAGGGTCATTGTCTTGTTTGAAGGTGAACCTTCGGCCCAGTCTGAGGTCCTGAGCACTCTGGAGAAGGTTTTCGTCCAGGATATCCCTGTACTTGGCCGCATTCATCCTTCCCTCGATTGCAACCAGTCGTCCTGTCCCTGCAGCTGAAAAACACCCCCATAGCATGATGCTGCCACCACCATGCTTCACTGTTGGGACTGTATTGGACAGGTGATGAGCAGTGCCTGGTTTTCTCCACACATACCGCTTAGAATTAAGGCCAAAAAGTTCTATCTTGGTCTCATCAGACCAGAGAATCTTATTTCTCACTATCTTGGAGTCCTTCAGGTGTTTTTTAGCAAACTCCATGCAGGTATAACTGACGATCTGGGCAGGTGTCTTGCACTGAGGAGAGGCTTCTGTCGGGGCACTCTGCCCTAAAGCCCCGACTGGTGGAGGGCTGCAGTGATGGTTGACTTTTTACAACTTTCTCCCATCTCCCGACTGCATCTCTGGAGCTCAGCCACAGTCATCTTTGGGTTCTTCTGTACCTCTCTCACCAAGGCTCTTCTCCCCCGATAGCTCAGTTTGGCCGGACGGCCAGCTCTAGGAAGGGTTCTGGTCGTCCCAAACGTCTTCCATTTAAGGATTATGGAGGCCACTGTGCTCTTTGGAACCTTAAGTGCAGCAGAAATTTTTTTTTTAACCTTGGCCAGATCTGTGCCTTGCCACAATTCTGTCTGTGAGCTCTTCAGGCAGTTCCTTTGACCTCATGATTCTCATTTGCTCTGACATGCACTGTGAGCTGTAGGGTCTTATATAGACAGGTGTGTGGCTTTCCTAATCACATCCAATCAGTATAATCAAACACAGTTGGACTCAAATGAAGGTGTAGAACCATCTCAGGGATGATCAGAAGAAATGGACAGCACCTAAGTTAAATATATGAGTGTCACAGCAAAGGGTCTGAATACTTATGACCATGTGATATTTCAGTTTTTCTTTTTTAATAAATCTGCAAAAATTCTGTTTTTCTGTCAATATGGGGTGCTGTGTGTACATTAATGAGGAAAAAAATGAACTTAAATGATTTTAGCATATGGCTGCAATATAACAAAGAGTGAAAAATTTAAGGGGGTCTGAATACTTTCCGTACCCACTGTATATTGGTACCTGTGAGAGCTTGAATGCAGGAGTGCATGTCTCTGGCAGTACTGAGTGTTTCTAGTCTGCTGTCTCTGCACACTGCATCACATAAAGGACCTTCCACAGCATAGAGCTAGACAAAGTCTGACATAAACAACCAAATGCCCAACCTGTGAGAAAGAACAGAAAATTAATGTAAAAGCCCATAAAATAAATGATTTCCACTTATGATGGAAACTCGAGGTCTGTTCCTCGCCTTTTGTTTCTGAGTACATGTAAAACAGCTCTGAGGAAAAGATGGTTATATTCCAGCTGCAGTTTGTTCAGAGACAGAGTGTACAGGAGCACTGGATCCATCAGCACCAGTCACACACACATACTGGGCCCAGTGATCGCTCACCAAACACAGTCATTCTGAAGGAAAAGGGCGACAACAAACTTACTGATATTTAATGCTATGCATTTTATAATAGTGTTATCGTTTGGCAAAATAAGCCTGAGAACAGTTTTTTGCTTATATCATTGGTGCACTGACCACATGATGTGTCCTATTCGTTTGACTAGCTGTCTCTACCACGCTCGGTTGTAGGTTTGTAGACCAAGAGCCAGAATTTCAATGAAAGAGGAAGCAAACGCAAACACATGCATCATCTTTTGACTGCAGCAGGCCTGGGGCTCATATGCATCTGGAAACGAGTTGTCCACCAGTTCATACGAGTGGCACAAACCAACAGACAGACTCCTACACCTTCCTTGCTCATCCCCAGCATGTGTGAGTAGAGCTCACACATGCAGATCTGATGGCTGTGCAGTGGTCTCAGAGGGTTGAGCAGGGTGTTTTTGCTGCTCATCAAGCTCCTGATATGGCAGACTGAGGGGGATGTCAGTGAAACCAGAGGTGGAGGCATCATCACAGGCAATTGAGGGCGCTGTGGCTATTTTTTCTTCCTCTGCCTGGTTCTGCTTCTAGACCAGCTGAAATCATGGAACAACAAACAGATAAATTCAGGCAGAGCTGTGACTATTATTATGATAAATGTGGCAAAAACAATAAAATGTTTCCACACACTGTGCCAGTAATTAGCTCTGCCATTTAAATCAAGGAGATTTATTTGTTTTTAAACTGAGAGGCTTTATGTCAATTTTCCATATTTTTCAGGTCTTGCAATTTCCTCTCAACTATAAATGTCCATAGTTATGTGAAGGAGTGTTTGCATCTGCCTGTGTTCTAACTCTGATGAAGGGGAGAGCCCTGTCCTGTAAAAGAAGGCAAATAATGACTATGAAGGACTCCGTTTAATCACCTGCAGTTTTCCGCTGGTTTTTGCCTTGCTAACGTAACGCTACAACAAGAATTTCAATAGACACAGCAAACAGCATATCGGGCCCTACTCACCCCAGGTGCAGTGTTACGGCTAGCGAGCTAAGCTAGATTGCAACGCGTGAAAGTTTGCTAGCGAGCTAATACAATTTCCACTAGTAATGTTCATACACTGATGCTGTTTGGCTAACGTTATCTACTGTAAGATAGCTTGTTTGAACTAAGCTTAACGATGCCGTCAGCTAACATTATTATTTTCAGTTCACGTTAAGAGTAAGAATATTCAGACCACATTAACACAATGTAACATTAACATCTTAGCATGAATGAAATGGCGGCCATAAAAAAAGATCAAGGCCATGACATCACTGTGACGTCAGCATCTGGTGAAAGAAAAGCTACCTTTGGTGTTAGTCTTCTATTGTTTCAGAGAAGCATTGAATGACACACAGCGTTATACAAAAGAGTTTGCGGGTTATACAGAAATTACAATGAATCGAAATTTTCAACAGCGTTTTGACACTAATGGGGATGTTGCAGAGATAAGGGACAGGGTGCCTCCACCAAGGCAAATGAATTTTCAAGAGGTTCTGGAGCACCTTGATCAAACCCTCACAGATATATTTGATACCAGAGCAAGAATGAGGTTCTTGCAACCTCTGGGGCAGCAAAGCCCTGGCGCTGAGCCACCGCCGGCTGACACTCAGGCCCTCTTACCCCCGTCCGCTGAGACTCAGGCCCTTACAATGAATCGAAATTTTCAACAGCGTTTTGACACTAATGGGGATGTTGCAGAGATAAGGGACAGGGTGCCTCCACCAAGGCAAATGAATTTTCAAGAGGTTCTGGAGCACCTTGATCAAACCCTGACAGATATATTTGATACCAGAGCAAGAATGAGGTTCTTGCAACCTCTGGGGCACCAAAGCCCTGGTGCTGAGCCACCGCCCGCTGAGACTCAGGCCCTTACAATAAATCAAAATTTTCAACAGAGTTTTGACACTAATGGGGATGTTGCAGAGATAAGGGACAGGGTGCCTCCACCAAGGCAAATGAATTTTCAAGTGGTTCTGGAGCACCTTGATCAAACCCTGACAGATATATTTGATACCAGAGCAAGAATGAGGTTCTTGCAACCTCTGGGGCACCAAAGCCCTGGTGCTGAGCCACCGCCGGCTGAGACTCAGGCCTTCTTACCCCCGCCCACTGAGACTCAGGCCGTCTCACCCCGCCCACTGAGACTCAGGCCGTCTTACTACGACCTGCTGAGACTCAGGCCGTTTTACCCCCACCTGCTGAGACTCAGGCCTTCTTATCCCTACCTGCTGAGACGCAGGTCGTTTTACCCCCGCCCGCTGAGACTCAGGCCCTTACAATGAATCGAAATTTTCAACAGAGTTTTGACACTGCGTGGGTTCTCTCCGGGTGCTCCGGCTTCTTCCCACACACAAAAGACATGCAGCTTAGGTTAATTGGCATCTCTAAATTGCCCATAGGAGTGAGTCCTGGTGGTTTGTCTACATCAGCCCTGTTATATAAAGGTGACCTGTCCAGGGTAAGCCGTTGTGAAGCTGACTGGCTAAGGTAATGATCTTTATAGTTGTGAAGCTAGCTTTGTGATAAAAAGCTGTTTTATATTTGACAGGCTGGGTGGCACAGGGGCACAGTGGATAGCGCTGTCACCTCACATCAGGAAGGTTCCGGGTTTGAGCCTGGGCCAACTCAGTGCCTTTCTGTGTGGAGTTGGTATGTTCTCCCTGTGTCTGCGTGGGTTCTCTCCAGGTGCTCCGGCTTCTTCCCACACACAAAAGACATGCAGCTAACTCAACTAAATTTTATTTATATAGCGCTTTACCACAGCCACAGCTGACCAAAGTGCTTAACATACAATACAAATTTAAAATCATAACAACATAAAAATAAAAACATACATTTGGGTCCAATCAAGGTGAAAGAGTCTTAGTCCTGTCCAAACGCCAATGAGTACAAATAGGTCTTCAAATATGACTTAAAAATGGGCAACGAGGGGGCCTGCCTCATATAAAGAGGCAATGCATTCCACAAATTTGGACCCACCACAGCAAAAGCTCTTTTTGCCCCCTAGTTTTCTGCCTAGCCCTTGGTGCCTCCAGAAGAAGCTAATCAGCTGATCTAAGGCACCGCGACGGATTATATGGACGTAAAAGTTCCCGTATAATAAGAAGGAGCAAGCCCATTCAAGGACTTATAAACAAATAAAAGAATCTTAAAACGATTCCTAAAAAGCACAGGAAGCCAGTGAAGAGATGCTAGAACTGGAGTTATGTGAGCTTAGGTTGATTGGTGACTCCAAATTGCCCGTACACTGAACCTCTAACAGATACCAACCTGAAAAAGACCTTGAAGGGCTCAGACATATACAGTATCAACACCGGTGTTGAGAGAATGCAGCTTTATGCAGTAGACGACCACAGCACCACATCTTTAATAACAGTATACAATAAAGACACATTATGAATTGAATCTTGATACCGGTTTTGTGAGCTGTTAATGTTTGTTACATTTCTTTCATTTGTACTAAAAATATTAGAAGTCCCCAGTGTTAGTCTACAGCTGGTCCTTTAAGTTTCATAGACATTAATTCCAACTCCACTGTTTACTAAAATTCCACATATTTAGATCACAAAAAGCAAAACTAAAAACCTACTTAGACTAAAAAATGGTTTTATGAACTGCATTATCTGTTTACAAATCCCACGATGGCTCTGTTCTCAACATTCATGATTTTGATGTAGGGTAATATGTACAGAAAACGAGCTGATTATTAAATGGTCATCCAGCTGCTTAGCAATATTTTTCACTGCTGGTGAAGCTGTGAAGCTCCGAGGAGGCCCTCTGTGTTGCAGCTGCGTGTCCCTCCACTACAGTTGGACAAGGCAGACCAGCATGACCAGTTAGTTACCTTCCTGAATAACATCAGGTCTTTTACCTGCAAAACATTGTCCAAATTAACACACCACTGTCCTTGCTGGTATACTGAGATAATATATTTTTATTTACCTTTCACCCATGTTCATGCTTACTTGGGCTTTTAGCTTTATCACCCTTGTAATTCTGGCAAGCCATGCCTTCAAAATAGGTGAGCGCACAGACACACACATCTTCTGTCCACCAGAGTGAGAGTCCCTCCATTATGACAAGGCTTACACTTGCACACATTATACTCTGCTATGTAGTCTGTTGTGGCCTGCTTCAGGTTTGATATGTTGGCATTAGCATCAGGCATATGCAGTGGACTTAACCTATGGCTGGGCTCTGGTAGCAAGAAACAACAAAATATGAATCATTTTGGTAATTGCCAGGAACTGATAACAGAAAAATCCCATCTCCCATTTGCCGCCAAAGGTATTACAATCATCCTGAGGAAGATATTAATATCTCTACCAAAAATCATGGAAATGCATAATAGTTGAGAAATACCACTAAAAATCAAACGTCATCATCATGGTAGCAGGAGCATCACCAATGTCATTAGGCTTCATCCTCTGCACACCATGTATGTCTGTACAAAATTTCATAGAGGTCCATCTAATAGCTGATATGTAGCGATATTCATCAATCCATCCTCATCTAATTTAGCCCTCATAATAACAGCACTTTCTAGAGCACCTCCTTTAACTGATGTCATCACCCTGTCCAGCAGTGCTTTTCCCACTGTTGCACCTATGTAGCAACAGCAGACCAGCTTTTAATGACTTTGCATAACTGATACATTAATGTAAACCTTACCATTACTATAACAAGCATGGCATCTGTGCACAGTTTCCCTGTGACAAAACAGAGGTTTAGATTTTTACACTTCTATCATAGTACAGTCTTCCAAGTTTACAGTCTTTTTCATCCAAAAGTGTTTCCAAAGACCACTGCTCCTTGTTGAACCATATGGCAATTGCCAGAATAAAACACTGGCACTAAACCTAATCCATTCTGCTGAAGCCTCATATTAGCCCCGTCTAAACTTCAAATTGCATTTTTGCTTGAAACAAGGATGGATTATATTCCCAGTGTCTTATGGTTGGTACAAAGAAATCACTTCACAGTAAATACAAACAGGATGAATGATTATGAATAGCTCTTTATATGAGCACTGGATTATAGATTTTAGAGAGACTTAAAATCTAAAACTGCACTCTAAATGCTGACTTAGTAGGCTTTTCTAAAAAGTGGGTTAGGGTGGATGGGGGGAGCAGGTCTTCTGTGATGCCTGATTGGACGCATTGTTGAATCTTTCTCTCTGTCAAATCTGCAAGAATCGCAAAGTACTAGGAATCAGAATTCACTAAAATGTTTACAGTATACCAGGGTAAACTTTCAAATCAAACTTTCAAATTACAGTTTTCAGGTAGAATGTATTTCTAGCTGTTCTTTTTATTCTTATATGAAGCAGGTGCTTGTTTATTTGTTTAAATAACACCCTGTGTTATTTAATTTTTCCATTAATTAAAATGCTGGTGAAATTGCCAATTTTATGCACATTACAAAGCCTTGACATTGTAATATTAGATGTCCAGGTGGCTTGTTACATTACCTAGTTAATCAGAACGGAACATTGGGAGGCGACAGTCTGGTGGGTAGAGCAGTCATCTCCCAACCGGAAGGTTGAAGTTTCAAATCTCGGTGCCTGCAGTCCATATGTCAAAGTGTCCTTGGGCAAGACACTGAACCCCCCCGTTGCCCCCGATGGTATCAGTTGAGTTGGTGCCGCAGATGGCTGCCTTGGTTCTGTATTGGAAACAAATTCCTTGTGTGTAATATACTTGGCCAATAAAGGTGATTATCCTTATCCTATTAGCTAAACCCTTCTACGGCCTTAACACCCAGTTTATGGTGGTATACATTGTTTGCTGTGTTTTATGTTTCAGGTTTGTTACGAGTTCTACAGGGTGGTGGGGAAAAATGTCAGAGAGGACTTGTTTGATGCACTATTTAGTAAAAAGAGAGGTCTCACCGGCCAGATTTTGGCAGGGCCTTTGGGTCAGACAAAGGTGGGTTGACTTGTCTACATCGGTCTACTCCCTCTCTTCCCCCTATCTTTGTTCCTCTTCTTTCCCTGTGTATTTACTCTCTCTCCTTTCTTCTCATCTCTTCTTTTCTCTCATTTTCTCTCTTCTATCCTTTCCCCTTGACTTTTCATTCTTTAATCTCCTCCTTGCCTCATCTCCTGTCTCCTTTTTCTCCTGTCCTTTCTGCTTTCCTCTCCATTCTACTGTCATCTCTCCTCTTCTGTCCTCTCCCTTTCCTCTCATGTCATCTCCTCTTGTCCTCTCCTGTGCTTTGCAATAAAGTCCTAAAATCTGTGGGGAAATTCTTGAATGTACTTAAGAGTTATGCCCACTATCTTACAGACCACTGAGCCAACAGACATCAGATGGCTTTGTCTTCAGGGACTGCCAGTCATCATGGGGGATGATCCTTCTGCGTTCTTCAAGAGCTGTGCTGTAAGAAACTTAATTTGTTGTAAATGTTGCAGGTGCATAGTTATAATCCTTTTTTCTAATTTAGGCCACTAATGAGGACTACCTGCTGCTAATTTTCAGAATCACTTAATCAGTATCTGGTGTTTCCCAGTGTCGGCAAGCCTGTAAAAACGGGTCCCAGGGAGAGCCAAGGAGCAGAGGAAACAGACCATAAGAGCAGAGCTGGCCTCTGATCATCTGGCATCAGAAACCTTAGAACAAGGGCTGCGGGTGACTATTGAGCAAATTGTCTCTTTTCAGTCAGAATTCACACAAGAACAGCAAGGATGTGTCCAAGAAGCAGCAAGAGGAGTTGAGAGAGAGAGAGAGGGAAAAATTATTAAAATGCTATGGCAGAATGCATAAAATAATAAGTAAGGATAATCATGAGATGATTTATGTGTGTGTTTTGTTTGAAATAATCATTAGAGAATAAAACTTCCATTTTATGGCCTAACAAATTTGAATATCTGCATTATTGAATTATGACACAACAGAAACTGAAAATATTTGACCACAAATGTATGAATGGGCTCAAATTAACATTAAAGATAATCTTGGGTTTTCACTTATTTATTTTAATTTTGTTGAGAAGTGTACAAAAGGGAAGAGAGAGGTTTTGCAAATAGTACATGTAATGTACAGATCCAATTATGGCAGTTGATGAAAAGTCAATTTAAGGCCAGTATTGTCTTTTTAATAATTACTGTCAGTGTAGTTTATACGATGCTCTGTGTTGATCAAAAAAATCCTCAGCTCAACCCATTCAGGGTGGGCATCATCTTGGAAGGGAGTGCGGCGATGGATGAACTGCCCAACCTGCCTCAGCTCAGGCCTTCTGTGTCCTCTTCGGACTGTTTTATGCTCTGCACCTGGAGAACACCAAGTGCATGAAAAACACTTTAAACTTTATTCAGCAGGTGATGCTCAAGCTGGGTAGAAGTGAGCTGGCACCCAAAATTCAAACTTTGAAAAATCAGCTTTTGGTGTAAAATGGTTTTGTATATTTAAACTACTGTTCCAGATATCAGTGCATAATTTGTTATGTTACACTTTTAAGATAGAAAACTGTTGAACACACGACAAATCTTCATAACCATTTGTATGCACACAGAATGTGCTACATTTCCATCACTGATGTGAGATCAGCTGATAGTTTTACCTGTGAAGATGTGTCACTCTGAATTGTTCAAACTACAGAGAAACATTCAGTTCTCTCTGATTATTCAGTGGTGTTACAGTGATATGTCTTCTTATCTCATAAACGATCTTCAGCTAACAGCACACAGCATTGTCCGCCGGCCGCTGTGAGGGCACAAACCCAACAACAGGGAGTTTCATTTTGTCCTGTCATCAATTTAAATCAGAGTTAATGTTAGTTAACGACAGCTGGTACAACCCCGCTGGTTGTCATTTTAACCAGAAACGGCAACAATGAGCAGAAGCTGCTTCATGAACGATTTCCACACTGAGCTTTGTGTAATGAAAATTCTTTTATTTTGAAAAGAGAAGACTAATAAAAAGATATATATTTCGCTATGTGAAATTTATTATGCATTAACGTATCAAAATAAGCATGTGCACATGGATCTTCCCTGTTTAGTGTTAGGTAATTTCATAGTCATTTCATATTAGGATAAAACAGAAAAGACTGTCCTCAACTTGCCGGTATACAATATTTGTATGGAAAGATGTTACTATCTGATTAGACCAAAACTGTTGGGGAGAAGTTGTGGTTTAAACTTAACTTAGATTGGTCCTTCATTCCGTCTGTCCTCCAATCATCCTCTCTGCTCCAATGGTTGTGGACAGCGCCCTAAAAGGGGAGGAATTCCTACTATTTCTTAATTTCTACATAGACACTTACGTCTTCCTTTGTTTCCAACTAACTGCTACATGTTAGACATTGCTTTCCTGTTCCAATAAAACTGCTCTGCCTGTGTGTGTGTAATGGTTCTACCTTTGAAGTTTTCTCTTCTTCCTGGCTTCAGATCTAATCTCTGTTTTAACTATCCTAGGAATCCCAATAAACTATAGCTCCCCCGGCCCATTAGCCAGGTGGTGATAGTAAATTAACTGTGGACCCTCTTTGCCAAAGCTGTAAATCTAATGACATTCAGTGTGTTAGGTATTTTTAGTCAGATAGATATTGGATAGATACTTTATGTATTAGAAATGTTAGTGGAGATAGGATGTCTAGTTAGACTGTTAAATGCTTAGTCATGCTTATGAGTTTCTACAGGGTACATCTGGTCAAGGATAACTAGAGAGAAGAGTTGATGACTGTCAGCAGACAGGGTGTTTAATATTATTATTATGACGTGTATAACTGTAGCCTTAGCCATAATATGTTCTTATGTTTAAGACACGACATGTCACTAGAGGTCATGTGAGAATGTTTTTAGCTACACACCACTTAATCAACAGACATACACATTCACACATTGATTTGCTTCATGTTTTGACTACTGCTATGGCCAGCTGCAAAGCTGGTAACAGAGACATCTCGGTTGACGTTTCTGTGTAGTATGGGGCTAGCACAACCGAGGGGATATAATGTATAGGCCTGGTGGGTTCAGGGTCTTTCATCTTACATTGGAGGTGCAAGATACCTGAGCATGTAATGTTAATTTTACCTGTGATCCTTTGAATAAATCAGCACTGTTTTGAAGTTACTTGGACTGTCTCGTCTCTCAGAGTCAGTATGGTAAGACGGACCATATCCTACAAGTGTTTTAGTGAACCAGTCCCCTTGATGTTAAACAGTGCTCCAATTAGCTAACACAGTAAATACTGACCAGTGATTCAGTAAACACATTGGGTGATATGCAGATATGTAACTACATAAACATAAACACAACTGTGAGATTAAAGTATATAGACTTATGTATGCTATATAATAAAAACCCTAACTAATTTTATTCATTTCTATCTAAAAATAAAAATCACCCTAACATTTACTAAAAGGATTGTAGGTGTCACTGGCACACCTGTGCGGCGGGGTGAATATTTAAATACTAAAATTTAAACCCGATTACTTAGCCAACGAATGAATATTTGAATACTGGGATATTTGGGTCCAGCCCTACATTGATCTGGAAACACTTAAGCATAGGGTGATTTTGTTACTGCGAGTGAATTTAAAGGGCTGAAAACCACAACATGGCTACCATGTTTCCCCCTCTCTCCCTGTGCTCATGTGTTTTGATGTCACAGGAAGATGAAATCACGATAATCCCGCGAGGCAGCTTTAAAACAGGGTGTTTGGACAACGTTATTACGTTACCGTGGAGACCCAGTACAGCGGTGCATAGTAGCCTCCAAACCCATGTAGGCTGTTGGACATGATAAGACTGGAAGTGAGCATGTGTGCATAGGTAGACACAAGTAATCGTGGTATAGACGAGCTACATCTTCAGCGGTGGTTACTTCATTGAAAAACATCTGATTTCACTATCAACGACCGACCACTGGCTTTTAGCATTTCAGACAAAGATTTTCCAAGACGTTTTTAAGTTATTTTTCTCAGTATAGAAACCAGGAGCCAAAATAGAGTCTATGAGAGCCACAACTGTTCGGAAATATGCCTGCTTAAATGTTTTGCCGACAATTTTCATGCGCACACAAAACACATAGGTTATTGTCCGCTATAATTTATCTAAAAAATCTTGACTTTAATTGGTTGAAATATTTTTCCTTATCAGACGGCCACACATAACTGTTACAGACATTGTATACAGGCATCAGGTTCGACATCTTGAAACTCGGAGGTCCTAGCGGTGGTAGGCGCTGTTCCAAGCGAGCTGCAAAATACAAATCGGTTGTTTATTTTGTGTTTGTTTACATTTCCAAGACAAAACATGGCTTCGACTTTGCTATCACCTATGGTGGATTATTACAATGATGAAGAAGAACTTGATAGCGTGGACGGTGCCCGTTGGGCTCTGTCTACTTGTTGGAAAAGAAACGGAAATGCGCGATTACCGTGTAAATTTATCTTTTCTTTTTTTTTATTTTATTCCGCGTTTAAAGCAACCTACATTTTGAGCAAAAGTAGTAACTATTTTATCTAACAGTATGTTCTGCATCATTTTAGCGATTCATAAACCCCATTGTAAGTGTCCGCTTTTCAAAGTGGAAAGCTAGTCTAATGCGAACCTCAGACGATGGTGGTTGGCTTGTCAAATAATCTAACAAATTAGCTGCGTGACTACTGCCGCCAGGCAAGATCCTGTTTAGCCTATAAACATTTCAGAAGCAAGTGGTGTAAACAAGATAGGCCACTTATACTGGCTGGTCGTTTACAGTGCTGATAGAAAACTGAGCATACGGTTGTCGTTAATAAACTCTTTCGGGTTTGTTTACAAACTGACTAGCTAACTTTTCAATACTAACGTTACATGTGGGGCATAATTCAGCTTTAACCACATTACTAGCCAAACTGGCTCCATCTTACGTTACTATACAATAAACAATTGTATAGTAATAACTGAATTTCTAAATGAGATACATAGCGTTAATTAGCCAACTAGCTACGTAACGTTTGCTCCGAGCATTGACAGGTCGACAGGCAAGCGAAAGCCTGCGTGCAGTGTCCACTGCACTGCCCTTTTCACACCATTCAGTGAGACAGTACGGATTGCAGTCAGAGAGACAGAAAGACGAAAGGAAAGCGAGGCGATGACAGCACTACAAGGTCAGATACTTCCCTGACATTGGCTTCCAAGCGAACCGCTGGACCTATTTTGTCCTCCCCCGGATTTGTTTAGCTGCGTGAGCTGGAATCGAGTTTCTCTTTAAACAGTAGGCTGGGCTAACTTCAGCTAGCACATTAATGCTAACCGAAAATGAAAGCTGCTGTGTCAGCTTACTACCGGGCCTTACCCTTCTCTTGTGTCGGTTTTTAAGGTAACGCTGTCTGACCTATGTTAGCCGGTGCTTATAAACTTGACTCCTAAGTTTGCCATATCGCACCACTCTCGATTAAGTATGTCTTGAGAGAGTTGCCGTTGGACTGACAGCATGACCAAGTTAAACGATGATCGTGCATGTGGGGTTTATTCCCCATGCGGCATCGCTCAAAGTAACAGCTGCATTTCAATCGAACGTCCTATTAACATCAGTGGATTAGGTTTGTAAATCCGATGGCCGGATATCAGATTTGCCCACCTTTGTCCAGCAGAACTTTTTCCTGATGTCGTTCCTTGAGGATGTAATGTAGGATATTTTCGTGGCGAACTAGGGTTTTTCTCGGTCTCCTAATTTGACAAATCGCAGAGTATTTCAAAACAGAATGTTTCCCATTACCTTACTAATGCCACGCACTGCAGAAATCTCTACTGTCTGTCTGTGGACTCATCTTAATTGCATTAAGTTCGTGTTGGACAACTCAGAAAAGTACATATTAATCTCATTGTACCGCGTACTGAAATAATCACATTTTAGTATTTTTAAACCAGAGAATCAGTTTTGAATGGTTGGGAAATATCATTGATTTCTTCCCCTGGCATGCCCTTTCCAGACACAGAGGATGCCAGTGAAACAGACCTTGCCAAACATGATGAGGATGACTATGTGGAAATCAAAGAGCAGTAAGTGTTTTGCCAGCCACGGATCAGCAGTTTTACCCCAACAGAAATCATTTGAACATTAAAGTTTGCATGTTTTCCCCATGGTGAAAGGCTCTGGTTTATTTCATTGCAGGATGTACCAAGATAAACTGGCCTCCCTGAAAAGACAGCTGCAGCAATTACAAGAAGGTAATAACTTGCATTTTCTTTTGTGATTGGAGGAGTGAAATGTGAATGACTGCTTCATTTTATCTTGTGGGATTTGTGTGATGGGTTCATATTCAGTGGAGAGTTTTGAAGAACTCAGCCAATTCCTTACTTGTTACGTACGGTAGTGGTTGGGGATTACATCATCCGGCCATAAAGGTAGTTTTAGCAGCAGTTTAAAAGTGCAGCCATTGTCTCTCAGTAAAAACAGAAACCAGACGGGCTGTTTAAAGGTGCTGTAGCACAGTCAACTGTCCCATAAGCCCTTTATTGCTCAGACAGATGTTGAGTGTAGGAATTATGTGGTAAGTGGTAAGTTCTGGGCTCTTTCCAAATACACATGTAGGTGCAAATTCTGTGTAATCTAGACTGTTGGTGGGGACTGAGAGGAAAATATCTGTGAAAGAGCTGTCAGGAAATATGATACATTTTGTGAAACTGCTTGTATTGGAGTTTTAATCATTTCAAATTTACTGCCTTTCACCCTACAAAACCATCCAAGTTAAATAAAGATAATACCATGAAATTCTTAAAGAAGAGTTTTGATTCCTTTGATCGTGACTAAATGTACCCTTCTCTTTGCAGGTACACTGCAGGAGTATCAAAAGAGGATGAAGAAGCTGGACCAGCAGTACAAAGAGAGACTCCGAAATGCAGGCAAGTTGAATAGTATTTAGGGACAGAACATAATGTATTGTTATTGTTATGTATAGGTTATTCCAGTTTTAGGGTGCTTCATCCTGTAGATTAGTTTGACCATGGGAAGAACATTGGTTAAGTTTCCTTTTCTTGGTTCTCACCTCCAAGCAGTTGTTTTGCAGCACTGTTTACTCCCATTGTTCTCAAGTGTTTTTGGATATGTAAAGAGAAGTATGGAAGTATTGTGTTATATAAGTACTTAAATGCATTTTTATGTGGTGTGAATGCCAGAGACAAAGACTGAATAATACAGTGCAGGCACCCTGCAAGTGAACCCCAAATATTTGTCTTGACTAATGTTAGAAATGCTACTCACTTCAGTCAGATTGGTTGTCATTTTGAAGAGTTTGTTGTGCCTGATAAATCGTCTGATCAGTGAGAATCGAATGGCGAACTTGCATGTCAGAATTTCTCATGGACTCTTTTCAAATTTGAAAAGTTCCATACTTAGATTTCCCTTGTGGTTGCTGTCAATTGGTAAACTGCAGCAAACTAGTTTTAGTAAAGTCATATTGTACATGCTTTTGTTGACTCCTCAACTCCTGGTTTCTTGTTTTCATCTTTTTTCTGTACAAATTAGAATCTCACAAAGTAATGCTGCCTTTTTTTTGTCAGTATTTTGTGAATAAAGCTGTCTTGTTTAAATAAAACTTGACTGGAATTGTCTTTGAACAAAAAAAACAAAAAAAAAAATCACCAGACTCTATGTTTATATTCAGTATGAGCTCCAACATTATGACTGATCAGTTGAAAGTTGGTAGGTAGAAGTTGTACATTTTAGATATGCAGAGAGGGTGAATAAAATGAGTAGTGTGACTTAACACAACATACAGGAGTAATAGAAAAAGTGCTGTGTCTACCCAGTTACCCAGTCAAATTCGGGTTGAGAAGGACTGAGTTGTCTTCCTCTTTCTCTGCTCCAATTTCCACCATTTTGATCTTTTTGGCTACTTTATTTTTGTTGATTCAGAGGTTTGTGTGTGATCAACTTTTTTTGTTGCTTGCTGTTTGCCAGATTGTTATGTAATGCATTTTTTGCTGATTAAAATTTGTTATGCCCAGAATGCAGTGCAAACAGTAATTCACCTACAATAGGCCCAGTGTAGGACAGTAGTTACACAATGCCAGAAGGGTAATAGATGCATTCCTTATAACATCAGCTTTATTTTTACCTTTGAGTTTTAGGTTTATAAATGTTTGCAGTGCCCTGTTTTCCAAGCTTTTGGAGCATCCTCTTTTGTAGCCCTGAGGGCAACCAGCACTGACTTAAGTTGTCAAAAGTGCCAGTATAATGGCAGTGAACTGATGTTTGCTCTACGTGACCTACTGTGTTTTTCTTCTCCTTTTACAGATCTGTTTCTCCAGCTTGAGGTAGGCAAAGCTAAAATTGCTGATTGGCTGATGTTGGTTATACAGAACTGACCTCTGATTTGTGGGTGTTACAAGGAAAACATCCATTCTTTTTCTGTCTCTCAACCTTGTGCAGACAGAACAGGTGGAGAGGAACTACATCAAAGAGAAAAAGGCAGCGGTGAAGGAGTTTGACGACAAAAAGGTTGAACTGAAGGAAAACCTAATAGCAGAGCTGGAGGAGAAGAAGAAGATGATCGAGAATGAAAAATTAACAATGGAGCTGAAAACAGGCTAATAAGTCTGTGGGTAGATGTGTTTCTCTCTCCGAATATTTTAATATCAAGTGGTCTGATTAAAGTCTGACTTTAAGATACAGTAAATTATGATGTTTTATGTGCCCTTTTAATTCAGTTTTATTATTATTTACATTTTTTGGTAAATTATGAATGTTATGCTTTTTGATAAAGTTTTACATTATTGTTGTATCTCAGTTTATCATTATTGCTTTAACCCACAGACTCTATGGAAGTAAAACCTATCATGACCCGTAAGCTGCGGAGGCGACCCAATGATCCAGTCCCAATACCAGACAAACGGAGAAAGCCTGCACCAGATATCCTTCACAGAATCCTGCTGTCTCACATTGACTGCAGTTACTGTAGCTAGATGAATCTGTGAGGGGTAAATTATTCAGTTTTATTTGTACAGGTAATATTTGTACTTTTGATTCCTAGCGGAGTTTTGTCTTCAGCCAAGCGGAGATCAGAGGTCAGTGTCAGCTGCATTTGTGGAACTTAATTTGCTCAGGTAAGTTGTGTTTAAACATGGCTTCCTTAACTCCTCAAACCTCAGCTGAATTATTTGTTAACAGATGAACAGATAATGGAAGATTTAAGAACACTTAATAAAGTAAGTGCTTCTCATTTCTTCATATTATGCATGTCATTTCATTCAGTGTTGTTTTTTTTCTTCTTCTTTATTCTAAATATATCAAACCTTGTCTTTTACAGCTAAAGTCACCAAAACGGCCAGGTATGTCAGCACTCACCTTCTGCAGTTAATGCCCACTTGTAATGTACAGTGAGTCTATAGTTTAAGAAATAGTTTGCTATATGGGGAAATATGCTGATAAAACCTTTTTTTTTTGCTGAGCTAAATGAGAAAATCATGTCTGTAAATATGAAGTTGCTACAGTTGGCTTAGCTTAGCAGAATGAGCAGAAATAGGGGAAACGGCAAGCGTGGCTGGTCCAAAGGAACAACTTCAGGAAATCTACCAGTTAAGAAATAATCCAGAACATTCTCCCCACCCTTGTACACCACATGTTTTTATACTTTGGGTTTATAATGGTTTAAACAAATAACATGTTAATTAGTGAGCTTTAAGAGATGCTGATAGGCTGATTTTGTTACCTGTTTCCAGTGTTTAAGCTAAGCTAAGCTAAATGGCTCCTGGCTGTAACTTTATATTGAATGGACTCACAGGAGAATGGTATTATCTTTTCATATCCCTCTCCTCTCATCAAGAAATCCAGTGAATATTTTTCAAATCAGGTGGTTTTGCCCCTTTAGTGTCTCCCTCGTCGCCCGAGCATATCCCCACCACTCCCATGGAGAACCCTTCCCAGCGTTACGAGGCCCGCATTGAGGAGGGGAAACTTTACTACGACAAAAGATGGTAAATTTAAAGTTTCATTCTTAAAACAGGCCTTTCAGTGTTTCTCCTGGCTTTCTCCCATAGCGTGTCTACAGCTTGTGTCACCACTAGATGGCCACATTGCCATCAGTTTGGCCTATCTTCAAAAAGCATTTTACAGACACTTTTATTACAGCCTCTTTTTGTCTAGGCTACAGAAAGAGATATTACTTAGCAGCTACTAACTGAGTGCTGCTGCTTGAAGCTGCAATAAAAATACATACTCAGAGAAGAGAGAGAGGCTGCGGTTTTGTCTAGCGGTGCATTGTGCTGTAATGCAGATATAAAGATTATGAAAGTCCTTGACCAGGCACAGCTCTGATGACCTTCTGTTTGAGAGCAGTGTCAGAACACAAGATCATCTGAAGAGGGGAAACAGTAATAGAATTCTGTTTTATTAGCTGAGGAAGATCAGAGGAATGAGCCATGAGGTATGTGCACAATTCTTTAAAGGCAAATCTCATTTATTCAGCGCTAAAGAAGGCACCACCACCGGAAAGCCTTCTCAAACAGCCACAAGGAGACATGTTATTATGCCTCAGTGGGCCCTTAATGATCAAATGTTTTGGTTGTCAGCCTCTTCTCATGGGTTGGTTCTGTCTCTGACAGTTTGGAGCCATTAAAAAATAAGACTTTTTGTTTTGACTTTCCAGTGCAGTTATCTGTTTAGTGCCATCTCATTTTTCACCTGGGGAAAATGATTTATAATGAACCCCTTCCTGTCTGCACTTGGGCCTCTCCCTCATTTCTCACCGTCAATGCCGAATTAATGGTGTGTGTGTGTGTGTGTGTGTGTGTGTGTGTGTGTCATACTGACAGGTACCACAAGAGCCAAGCCATCTACCTGGAGTCAAAGGACAACACAAAGATTAGCTGTGTCATCAGCTCAGTGGGGACCAATGAGGTGAGATCTGGTTCTCATCCAGCTCCTGTCACATACAGAACTGGGTTTGATCATAGGATAAGGCTGGTGATATTCAGTAGCTTCTGTGTTCTCAACAAATCTCATGAAAAGATTTCTGTATGTGTAAAGCATGTTGTACTTCAACGCTCTGTGCATCAGAGCTCCATTAAAAACACATCAGTGCTACCACATCATTGCACTGGGTGACATGGTTCTTCATTACCATAAAAACTGTAGTTTATTTTGACTCAGTTCCACATACACCATCCTGCTCCCAGAGCACCAAATGTGCATTAACTCCCAGCTGAAAATAGTACCCAACAAATGCACTGCTTACTCCTGTTTGAGCAACATTAGCTGAAATATACAGCACCCAGCTGTTTTAGGAAATCGGTGAACTTTGTCTAAAAATGAGACCCATTTTTAAATGTATTCAGTAGAAAGCAATGGGCTTGGATCTGCAGACATATCAACTCTCAACCTTTTAAATGTTGGATGTGTTGTGGAGGTCCAGGAAGTAGTTCTTGTTTGAGTGGTAGAATGGGAAACGCTACGATCCACAGATTTTATTGTACAGGTTTTCCTTTAGTTTTACCAGTAACACGTGCTCTTTTCCCACTGTAGTCCACACTAGACTGTCACTAACCTCTGCTAGTTACAACCTCTTAGTAATGCATTATACTTAAGGGTTTTCTGTCACTGCTCTCCAGATTTGGGTGAGGAAGACAAGTGACAGCACAAAGATGAGGATCTACTTGGGACAACTGCAAAGGGGAGCATTTGTCATCCGTCGACGATCGGCCGCATGAAGCATTACCTCTCCCTGCCCAACCCCCATTTGTTCATTTATTCATTCAGCCGCCCGCTCATTCATCTACTGCTTCCCTGTTTGGTACATCTCAGGCCTCTTATTCTTCATCGCTTACACTACCCACCATTACACAAGCACACACATTCATACAGATTTGCCAAGGCCAAGGATGTCTCATCTGATTTCATCACATAAATCAAATGCTAGTACAGTGAAAGTGGTCATATGCTCAGCTGACTGTTATCCAGAATTATTTGTCACTATGTGGCATCATGTGTATGAAGACAGTGAGTGGCCATAAAGGAGCCAGCTTTGGTTTTTGTCTCATGCTGTCAACACATTATTTCTACACCATGCAGTCATTAAGTTATTTCTCATATATTTCTCAGCCTCATGTTGACCCGTGGAGGCCATCTTCAGGGCTTCCAGAATGGATGATTATCATTAAACTCTGAACTGAAGAAGTTAACAGTTATGAGTATGCCTTTTGGAGGTTGCTTGGTATGTTGATAGCTTGTTCTAATAACATGGTTAAAAGTCTTGTTTATTAAACTTTTAATTTCTGTTTTTGTAAGTTTGTTTTTATGTTAATATTTTTGTCAGATTATGTCATTTTTCCATATGCAATTTGAATTAGTTCAGCTGCTTTGTGGAACATTATGTTGACTATTATTGTGTTCCATTATATTAAAATGTTTTCTGCCTTTTATCACCTGGATGAGTTTCACTGTTTCAAATTAATTTAGTTATGTTGGCATTAAACAAGCTTGGCAATGTAGACAAAAATATTGCGAATATCCAGACATTTATAAGCCTTCACCTTGACTTCAGCATCTGTTTATTTGTAGTGGCCTTTTTCCAGTTTTGAAAAATATCCATTCCTCTTCAGTGAGGTAAAGCAGCACTTCTCACCTTGTGACTATTGGACGCTTTTGATGAGCTGACATCTTTTAAGGACTCCTGCCCTGAGGGAAAGTACTAACATGCCCACCTGTGCCTGAAATACAAAATTCAGTCCATTTAGCCTGTTGAGTTTGTCTGAAATATGAACAAATCAGGCAGCCAGTTGTGGTTCTTCACTTACTGTAAGAGAATGGAGGTTCTCTGGGGCTATTGCTGCAATTTTCATAAACAAAATGGCACATCTGGCTGCTCAGGTACAGCCTTCTTGAAAATGAGCTCTTCAGGTTTTGGATCACAGAAGAGACATGACAGGGTACAGTGTTTTTCAGTCAACCTGAGAATGTAACAAGCACATACTTTTAAATCCAGTTGTCTACAATGACTGCATGAGTGAATGAGCTGGCTACAGGTGCATCAGACTTCCTTTTGTAATCAATGATACATTTAATAAGTAGGAGAATTATGTTAGTATACTGTGCATCTGACCTACAAAAAACAGGCTGTAAACATAAAACTGACAGTCTTATAAAGTTACCATGGGGAACATAGTCCTGTTATTCACTGTTAATGTAACAATATTGATGTTGAGTGCTTCAATGAACATGCTGATATATTAATGTACATTTAAAAATGGTTCATTGATCCACTGCTATGCAGTTATAGACCAATAGGAGTCCATGACTCCTGAATGAAAAGTTTAGATTGTAAAGTTCTAGCATGTTTAATAATATGTTGAATTGAGCATTAAGTGTAATGGTAGGGCACAGGCAAGCATTTGATTTGCTGTGTATTTTTCCATGTCAGTGCCGGGTGTCTGTGTCATTTGTAGGAGCGTATTTGCTCACCACTAACACAACTGTTCTCAAGCATCCCTGCACTTTGTAAACAGCTAACTTATTTGGCATTCAGCACAGGTTTCTGAGCAGGTCTGAGGGCTCTGAACAGCCCGTCTTTTCCTTCTTGTGTGTCCTATCGCTTTAACCGGATGGCATGTTTCACTTTGCCTGACTTAATGACCCAACCTGACACAGAGGGCAATTACCGTTTTGCTCTGCTGCACTAAATGCAAGGCTCATCTCAAAAGGCTTGTTGTCCTGTAGCCATCAGGTGTGATTGCTCTGTCTCTTGCGAGAGCACGATATGGGCTGATAGTGAATGTGATGCCTGTCTGCCTCCTTTATTGCATCCCTTGTCTGGCTCTTAGTCAAGGCCAGAATAACATACACTGAGACTGTTCATGTGAGATCTACAGTAGATGGATTTCTTGCAAGTTTTTTGGCATCAGTCATATATCCGACTACTGTATTTTTTTTACATTTGGGCCATTTTAATTGATCTGGCATCACAGACAGGAACAGAGTGGTGTGCACGGGGAAAAGGATCTTGCTAAAATATGAACGTCCCCCATTTGTGACCCCATATCAGAGTGAGAAGGTAATAGATAGTTGGCTTCTTAGCATGGATAGATTACTGAAACGGGGCCTCTGGACCATAAGTGTGTGCTAACACTTTCTGGAAAGTTAATCGGCTACAAAAAACATAAAAGGAAAGGCACAACAACCACATGAGGAGCCAAACAAACACAGAGGTATAAAATGGCCACAGGGAGACAACCAAGAGATTCTGAATGAGCACAAGCAGACACAGACTGGCACAATGAGATGCAAATGCAAAGAAGTCTTACATCTTTACTCCTTTTACAAATGTGCAGCCCTTCTTTAGAACTGGGCCCTAGTCTGCAGCTAGTCAGTTTCTTTCTCTGTGGGAGTGTGTCGGCTCAAGCTTCTACTGCCAGCGGCTGTTTTTGCAGCCTTAAATCAATATGCTGAGTAAGCATGAGAACGTGTAGGAGCACTTAAGGATCATGGAGACAGTTCTCAGGTGATGAATCAATTCTTCTTCATGCACTGTCTATTCACCAGATTGTGTAAAACGCATGCTGTCACGCACCATATGATAAACAAAAGGAAGCGCTCCAGCCTTCCATGGCCAGAAGTCATTACAGCAGTCTGGCTGTGGTTTAGGTGTGCTGGTATTTCTCACTGGAGCTGTTATACTCTTTGGCGGTTATTTCTTGTGTGCATTAGAAGTCACCCAGGGCATCAATAAAAATCCCCCTCGCAATCCCCCACCAGTACCAAATTCCCTCTTTTATCCTCTTCCCCCTAAACTGAGCATTTGCTTCACTGCATGTTAGCGCATCGGTGCATAGCTACAGCGTGGAGAGCTGCATCTCATTCTGCACTATCTGGTGGGAATGGAGTGAGAGATTTGCCTCTGGTGGCCAGAACAGAGGATGGTAGCTCCCTGAAAACCCTGCTAGGCCCTGAGTAAATGTGTGTGTGTTCTGCCAATTTAGACTCTTCAGCTGGTCTACACTGGGAGAGGAATTCATGTGCAGTACAAGCTCCTCATTTCTCCCTTGACATTTGACCCAGGGTTGTGGAACAGAGTTGCAGCCTCACTGGACCATTTGATCATTTTAGATATTCATCCTGTTAAGCAGCTACTGCTCAGAACAAAGTCATTGTCAGTATCTAGATGCTCAGCACCATTCTGTTAAGCTGCTCTTTTGATTTATGCACTAAGACAGCATAACATAAAGCAGAACAATGTTGAGTAAATCATCCATCTCATAGCCCAGTGAGTGAGCTTCGCAAGTGGGTATACTGTATTTGAAATAACAAGTTTGTGTTATTTGTACATTTGTGAACTTGTACAATTTAAACTTCTCTCTTTTTTGCTCTCACAACCCTTCTGCTAATTCAAAGACTGTTGCCTAATGATGAGAGTCTCCATCTATATTTAGCCCTCATATCATCTGAAGTGTCTTGTAGTCATTCCTACAGTTTTAAAGGATGCAGAATTTCAATTTAAAGCTCATAGGAGCCCCTCATTGTGAAATAAACCATGTGATTTCCTGAATTAACAGTGAAATGACTCAAGTACATTTGAAACTTTAGTACTATTATGAGGCACTTGCACATTCACAGATTAAGTTTAAATACACAACATATGATCTATGTATTATGAACTATTATACTGTACATTAAGTTACCCAATCGCATGGTCAGAATGCTCTGCTATGGAGTCCTGGAGCAAAAGGAGTCAATAGGCTCCTGTTAATGTGTACATTATCCTTACACTGGAAAATGATTTTTCCCCAGGGTTGATGTGTGGACGTTCTATTTGACCTATCACCTTCTCTCGCTACCATAAACCAAAGAACTGATAACTGAGACTGTGTGTGACACAGAGTCAAATCATCATCTCGACATGACTAATTTAACGGGTCAGGGGTAACAAGAGGTAACAAAGAATAGCAGAGAGGAATTAAAATGAAAAAACAAGAATTCATACCCCGTGACTTGTAAATGCAGGTGTGATATACATGTGTAATACGTTTACATGAATAACAGCACTAATGTGTTGCTGTGTAAGATGACCTTGGCTTCCCAAGTTAGTGCATGTTTAGAGGTTTCTTTTAGTCATTAAACTTGTTGTAGGTTTGAATTTTGACACCAATTTTCTTTTAATTTTCTTATCACACAACTTATGAAAAGTGTGAATGAATTCCAGAGCGCGTCTACTAACGTCCTCTCCCCTTGAAGCACCAATCTTCACACTGACTTTGGCGTCCATTTGGAAAAGTGAGCTCGCTCCCCCACTGATAAGGTTTGCTCTGATAAGGGGAAGATACTGTATCTTGTGAGCCATCACAGTCACTCAGGAATCAAAACATTGCTTTCTCTGTAACCTCTTTAGACACATTAGGAGACGCGTTAGGAGAAAGAGAGAAGCATGGGGAAAGGCTGGAGGGGGCTTTTATGGATGGAAAGATGGACCACGCAGTTGTTCAGAATAAGTTTATCATGCAATTTTTTGCATTGAGGGGGCTCCTTGAGGTGCTCCATCATCTCAGGAGAGGTTCCTACCTTGAAAAGACAGATTGTGTTTTTGCCTTGTGGGAGTCAGGCAGACATATGGACGATGTTGCCTACATATAATTCATTTCTCTTTCGACAGGCTTTGTATTTTGGTATAGTGATCTTAAAGGGACAGAAAAATAAGGATATGACAATTTTATAGTAGGTATAGTTTGATATTTTTAGGAATACGCTTGTTACTTCTCAAGTGAATATCGAGATAATCAACCACCATGAGCCAGTTAGCTTAGTTTAGTGCAAAGATGGCTGTAACATCATTCACCTACCAGCACCTCTAAAACTTACTGAATAGCAAATTGCATCTCATTTAATAAATTTGTACAAAAATGAAAGTGTAATAACAACACGTTTCTGCGGGTGATTATGTGCTGGCCTATTTCTGGGTTGGGTGCAGTACTTTCCTGCAGCCTTGTTGTTATCATGAAGTTGTCTGCACAGGCTTCATGAAATTACTCATTCACCTGGCCAAGAAATAACCTGCCTTAAAACCAAAGGAACTGTGCATTTGGCCTTTATTTTTGATGGACAGAGCCAAGCTAGCCATTTCTTGTTGTTTCCAGTCTTTATGCCAAGTTGAGCTAAGACAACCAGAAACTGGTTCTAACTTTATATTTACAAATGTGCATGTACAAAAGTGAGGGTGCTATCAAGCTTCTCATCTAACTCTCTGCAAGAATGTGAAAAGGCAATTTTTTAAAAGACCTTGAAAAACACAAGTAGCTCACAAAAAACTGAGTTTTCCCTCCATGTCAATCACCATGTGTTTGTGTTTGGATCCCTTATGTCTGATAGCTCATACTAAATCTGCTTCTGATGAACAGAAACAAAAAAATGCAGCTCACTTGGAGCATGAGTCGAGACATCAGCTTGGCTTCCTGCCTTTGATACATTTTGTCAGCCTTTCAGTGTGTAGCTGTGCAGACAATCACACGCTGACATCCTTCTAACCAGGAAAGCTTGCACGTTAAGATTGTTAGATAACGCCCTCACTCATTACAAAGCATGGTTTGCATGGTAGAGGATGGAAACACACATTTAATGTGTCCCAGTTGATGTGTTCCTCTCAACAATGCTCCAGAGTCCAAATAGACAACAAATAGACACCAGGAGATGTGAATGCTCTGAGTTTACTAGTCCAAATTAAATTTGTGCATTGCAATGAGTCAGATAGGCCTTAGCTTATTGGTGCAGACTCGTATTCATTTTTAATTCATAAATGAATAGCAATCAACTGCAACCCTGGCAACTGATGAGACCAGATTAAAAATGAATATGAAGAAAGTGATTTAATGAATAACATCACTGAGCTTTGCCTAGCAGTAGGCCATGCCATGTTACAACTGAGCATAACTGAGTCAGAATGATCCATTTGAGGTCACAGTCATGGTAAAAATTGGGTTTATTAAACCACTGGCTTTTAGTCTGGGTCCAACTGCAAAGGGCCTCTGAATATGAATAATAGCAGAGGGTAAAATGTCATTAACATGTGTACTGTTTGATTGATCAGTTTGACTGGCCATAATTGTTGACACTATCCTGTGCCAGCTCAGGAAGTTCAACCTGCCCCAGGAGCTGCTGATACACTTCTACGAGTCATCAAGTCTGTTCTCTGCTCTTCCATCACATCACTGTCTGGTTTGGTTCAGCAACCAAACAGGACAAGTACAGACTCCAGCAGACAGTCAGGACTGCAGAAAGAATCATCGGTGCCAGCCTGCCCTCCATGGAGGACCTGTACACCTCACGGGTCAAAAGGAGGACAGAGAAGATTTCTGCAGACCACTCACATCCTGGACACAAACTGTTTAATCTCCTCCCCTCTAGATGGCGCTATAGGTCACTGTAGGCCAAAACAACCAGGCACAAGGACAGTTTCACACCGATATTTTTATTTTTATTTTACTAATGCACATTCCTTTTTCTTGTTTGCACATTCTTTTTCTTTTCTTGTTCTCAGTCTTATTTTGTTTACTCGTTGCCTTATGGAAGAACATTGTACGTGCACATTGACAGCCACTGTACCGGAGTCAAACTCCTCATGAGTTCAACACACCTGGCCAATAAACCCGACTGTGATTGTGATTGGTTAGTTTGGTGCTTAATTGTCACTTTACGAGCTGCTCTTCCTCGGTGAAAAATGTAAACATCCGTGAGAAATTAGAGCAGTGCTCAAAAAGGCGGAAACAGAAAGATAAGTGAGACAAAGAGTAACTTTAAAAAAAAAATACCAGCGTTAACTGGATTTGTCAAAAAGGATTCGGCAAAGTGGAAGGTAGTCCTGTGGCTCCGGTATGGGGACTCCACAACCCTGCCATGAGCTAAGAAGACTTAAAGCAGCTTTAAATAAGACAAATCCTGGCGCAACCTGGGCCGGACACTGACTGAAACAACTGAAACAAGCGTCAGCAAAGACAACACTGAGGATGCCTCAGCGGTTGTCAGCACAGGACCATAGATCCATTCAATAAACGGGAGATTTCATTTCTGACACTGTCCGTGCCTGCTGGGTAAAAGTGGATCTGGAAATTTGTCAAAACAGAGATGCTGACCAGTCCGCCTCAGTAAGTCAGTGTTTAATATTAATGCTTACAGTTTCCAATGCTGTGATGTGTTGTATACTGAGAGCGCTGCTGCTGTGCGGAACTGTTGTGGAAAGACACTATGGGAATGAAATATACATGAAGTGAATTAATGTAGGCTACAGTACGTTTGTTGTTGGGAGGCTTGACTTAGCAGCTTCAGTCTGTGCAGTGGTAAATCTGTTGCTTGTGCTGGTGGTGGACAGAGGAAACCCAGGGCCCTGTGACAAGGCTTAAATGGCCCCCAGTTGCCATATTAGTCTTCTCTCATACAGTCCTGGTGTAGGCCAGTGGTGGCCTGGTTTCCACACAACATTACATATTGATGATTCCTCTTCATTAATTTGCCACTCAGACTGTGAAGGCTGTAGCAATGAAAAGTACACAGCGCTTTTGACACCTGAATTAAAAAAAAAAGAAGCCTAAAACGGATGTTGCATTTTAAAAAGATGAATTAATCAATACCTTTTTACATAGACAATAAATCAGAGAAACTTATGTGATGCAAAAAGGGTCAGAAACTGAACTTTGTGGCTCTAGGGAGCAACTAGAGGTAAATAAGGAGTTGGAGGCTGAAGGTGATATGCCAGCATAAAGACGGTCAGCAGGGGGAATCATTATTCAAGAATGTAGGACAAATGGTTTGATATGTGTTAATGTAAAAACGCCAAAACAATACAAAAACTCTTTTAGACCATATATTTCTTCTGAACTCTCCCGGTCCACTGAAGCTAACCTAAAGGAACTGTCTTAGGGATGGACGGGGAGATCATCATCAGATGTTTTAACTGTTAAATATCAATATCAACCTAAAGGAACTGTCTTAGGGATGGACAGTTAAAACTGTTAAATATCAATATCGGTATCAATTCAGACTTGTTACTTGTTAGCAACTAGCAGATATCTGTAGGGCCTTTCTGGCCCCAGGTGGCCAAAAATCTATTTGTCTGGTAGTGTTTCTAGCTAAAATGTACAGTGTGTGCAGGGTTTTTGATGACAACATTGCACATAATTGCAGTGCAATGAACTTGTGTTCCTTTACTTCTTTAACTGTTCCCCACATGCTTCCTGCACACCCACATCTTGCTCCTTTCCAATTTTATTAGCATCAATTGAGCTTGCGACATTTCCTTCTTTCTATTGAGGGGGAAAAGAGGGAAATGGGCATGATAAAAGTGATTGTGAGATGTCTTCACAATGCATTGAGGAGACCTCTGAGTGCTTGCTGATGCCTCATTTGGAACAGAGAGGAGGCTAATGGATTCCATCTTGCCGTTGCAGCCTTCTTTATGGTTTGTGACAGAGTCGGGATGTCATCAGTTTGATGGCACTGTCGGCGGTCAGATGTGACTCCATCCTGACTTCTCTTGCTACATCGGTAGGAGTCTTTTTAAGGCTGCACATTTGCTGACAACATACCCAGTGTGAATAGGTAACAAATATGCACCTTTCTTCAGATATATCCAAGCTCATAAAGTTAGAAATGTGCTAGACCGTGATATGATACTTCTGCTTCCATTAGCTTTATTAGGACTGAGTGCAAAATTACTTCCAATTAGAGTTTCCTGGACAACATACTGGTTATGCATAATAATATCTTAGTCTCCAACCCCCTGCTTTTGTATCCACTGTTTTTGTAGTTGTCAGGAAATTGTTTTGCATCTCCCCTGGCCTTTCAGAGGCAATTCTGTGTTCTTGCATATGTGGAGCAGAGAAACAGAAAAATGCACATCAGATCTCTGCATGGATTTGTGTGTGTAGTTGTGATACACAGTATTTGAGGCTCCTTGCTTGTTTTACGCTTTGCTTCACTGTGTAGGGATGTTATTTACAGCATTGTTCCCAAAAGATTATTTCTGCTGTGAAGTGAGTGTGGAGATGAAAAGCAGCAAGATGTCTGTTATGAAGTGAGTGCCTGGCAGCCAGCACGCTGTGCTAGAGATGCCATGTCCCATGGAACACAACATCTGTTTCCATTAGGTCTGATTATAGCGGCACCCCGCCTCTGAATACATGAACCAAGCTTAGACGTTATAGGTGTCGCATGCTGATGACTTCACTTTCCATCTGCCACAGTTTGAGTAACGGCAAAGGATAATGTCCAATTCATTGGAGAGTGAAATGCAATCACGTAACCTCTCATGGTGAAAGCACATCAAGCTGCAGTGCTTACTCTAAGATTTTTCAGTGGGTTGCAATGCAGAGTCTCATACAGCCTCTAGTTCTGTGATCGAGGAGTTTACAGATGTCTACATAAGCTTTAAACAGCAAATCAATGTTTATTTAGGTGCTGCATGGCTCAGAGTTGCTCAGAAATAAATATTGAAGCTTCATGTTATGAAAAGAACTATGTTAGATTTTTTTTATATTAATTCAGTTAGAGCAATTTCTGACAACAGATGAGAAACGGCTTTTTTTTTTTTTTTTTTTTTTAGCCTCTTGAAAACCAAAACCTCAAAAGCAAAAGTGTAAGTGTGTTTATCTCTAAATTAAGCTGCAACCATTAGCATGTTTGACTAACTAGCTTACCAACTGTAATCTAGTGTCTTTAAAGTCAGAGTAATTAGTCTATATTAGCTTGTGGGGTTATGGCTTGGGGGCTGACTGTGGTTCAGTGGGTAAAGTGGTTGTCTCTCAACCAGAGGGTTGGAGGCTTGAATCACGGTGCCTGCAGTCCACATGTTGAAGTGTTGTTTGGCAAGACACTGAACCCCCAAGTTGCCCTTGATGGTTACAGCCATCAGTGTGAGTTGACACTGCAGATGGCTGCCTCGGTTCTATACCAGAAACAAATTCCTTGTGTGTAACATACTTGGCCAAATAAAGGTGATTATTCTTATTATCCTTATTTTGAAATAATGTTGGATCTTACATTTTCCCTCATCATGCTTGTGCTGAAATACACGTGCATTGCTTTCTCTTCCCCTTGAACATGCAACTTTAGCCCAATATTTTATGTGAATACAATGCATTGCAGTTTAAAACCCCTTTCACAGGATTTTCATTTTAATACAGTTCAACTATAAAAAGAGAGGCAGCATATTCAGCACACTCCTGGAGCTAACATTAGCTGGCTACAGCTGCATGGATTAGAAAACATACATTTTAAAACATGGTTCCACCTCATTTAGTTTCTTAATATTACATTACAGCTTTTCAAAATCATTGAAAATGCAAGAGTTCAAGTTTTGCATTATGTGTTCTTGGTACTAAACAATATCTTTTAGTATTAGTATACTATTAGTCAGTGTTGCCTTGGCTACACTTAAATCTGTCTGTCAGGGACCAAGCAGTAAGGCAAAAGACACAGCTTCCAAAGTTCAAAGTAAAAGGTTTTTATTAACCCAAAAGCAAGAAAAAAACAAAACAAAATTAACATCAGATAAACTGGGCCCTAAAAGAGGTCAACGAAAGATAAGGAAACTCAAAATACAGCAAACTGAACTGTCTCAACAAAACCAACTGACCTAGCAAATGACACACACAGGGGAACATATATACTGGCTGGCCAAACCAGTAACACACACAAGGGGTAAACTAAAGACACTACCAAAGCAATCAACTAATAAACACTAAACAGACAGCCTGCTCTCAACTAAATATTTCCTTTAAATATAAAGAAATTAACATAACTTGACAAATAAAGTTCTAACATAAACTACCAACAAATAAACAATA